CTCACGTAATAATGAGTGTGTGATGTTATTTGTATTTATTAAATAATAAAATAAATGAATAAATCTTATTAATTTAAAAATATTAATTAAATTAAAAAATAGTATAATAACCAACTAAATTCATTTAAATAATTGAAATACTTTAATAATAACTAATATAAATTTAAAACTTTATTAATTAGTTTTTTTTAATTAAATAAAAAATATTTAAGTTTATATTGATAGAAAATATTTCCTAAACATTTAAAGAAGTTGATAGAAACTATGTTTTAAATAATATAAGACCTTTTTTTTAATTTAAAGGTATTTTTGTCTTTGCAAAAATAAATACACTCGTTTTTCTTCTATTTCTCTTATATTTATTTTATATTAAATAATACATCAAATCTACTATATTTCTCATTTCTTTATTTCTTATCATATTCTTTCTTATATTTTTCTATCTTCTCATTTTCATCTCACAATCAAACACACCCTTAAAGAAAGTCTTCCGGTATGTATCGCAACAAACCATAACACTTTTTGAAAATATTTTGCTTTTAAAAATTGCTAAATGAATTTCAATAACGGTTAAAAACTGTGGCCTAAAGTAACAAAATTATTATTTTTTAATTATTAGACCAGAACACTTATTGAAAGTGTTCCAATTATGTGTATTATTAAGACACACGTTAAAAAAATTGCTATATGAGTTTCAGAAACACTTTAAAAACATTCTCTATTCACTTTAGACCACCGTTTTAACCTGTTGTTGAAACTAATTTAGTAAAAAATATTCTATTTAGAACACTTTTATAAAGATGTCTAGTTTTTATAGTATACTCAACCATAACACTTTTAAAAAGTGTTCTGGTATGACATTTTTTTTTAATTTTTGAAAGATATTCAACCGGAACACTTTCAAAAAGTGTTTTGGTATGAATTTTTTGCCTGAACACTTTCAAAAAATGTTCCGGTATAATAATTTCTTACCAGAACACTTTCAAAAAGTGTTCCGGTATATATTTTTGTAAACCGAATGACTTTAAAAATGTGTTTCGGTTTATATATCTTTGGGTGTTCCGAGAACTTTTTTGAAATGTGAAGAAAAAGTCAAAATTTTTAAAATATGAACTATTTATACAAGGATATTTCGGTCCAAAATTTTTGTGTGCAGGGGTATGGGTATAATTGTAGGGGTACGAAGTAAAATTTTCTCACTGCATCCACGAGTTTAATCGTGACCCGTTATATACTCATGATTGTCCATATGCTTGTCGGTTTGTCTCTAGTTGAGGGAATGCTCATATCTTGTCGAAACCTGTGTATATCGACCGAACTCAGCATGACGACATAAGATGGAGGACATACGGTGCTCACCGAGACACAGTTCCAATCGATTATGTTTCCTTATACTTTGGATGGTTGGTATGTGGGACCAACATCATGTGCAAGTATCTTCCTGAGCAGTGCATGCAACAATTTGGGTACGTCCAAATTATTCTAAGGTCCCCTTGCAGACAACTCTCATCACTATTGTCTGCAGACACCTAGATGACATTCTAGCAGATTTTGAGAGTCGTGTGATACCGAAGGAGTATCGGAGTCAGGCAGTCACATCTGAGTGGTCTTATATGGAGGGTTACATGACCTGGTTCTACAGGGTGTCATATCCTTACATTACACATGACGCTCCTGGACTTCCACCTAGGCCTGCTCATGAGGAGATCCTGGAGAATGAGCAGGCCATGGACGACCATGTTGTTGATGTGTTGCCACAATGTCAGACCATTATACGGCTTGCACGTGTGGGCATCGAGACCATAGTGTTTGTGAGAGGTGGAGATGAAGCGGTTGTCCTAGCACAGTCCATTATTTCTAAGGTACGGAGTGCCGTAGCTTATCGTAGGAAGAGGAGGAACCAGAGTGTTAAGATTAGACATACACAATAGAGTATGCATTTGATTGTATTTTATTTAATTTTAATTGACTTTTAAAATGATTGTTGTACTAATATATTCAGTTTCTATAATATTCAGTTTTATTAAAGCTTTATGTGGTTCTATAATATTCGGTTTTATTAATCATTGGAACAAATAACTGCAATTTTAATCGAATTGAAATTAGTTTTGACTGAAAACGCCACAATCATAGAAAATTGATTTTGGAAAAATCACCCAGGAAACAATTCGAAGACGCATCTCTGGATTTTAAGGCAAAAGGTGACTTCGGACATGCACATCCGAATTTACTCTAGAGATGAGTTCGGGGACGCATCTCCAAACTAAATTTTATCCAAAAATAGTATTTGGTGCGTTCGAAGACGCATCTCCAAATTCACTCAGAAGCACTTTCGAATTTTCAAGAGGTGCACCATATATAACAAGGATGAGATGAGAATCGCCTTTGTTCATAGTTGTTCCGTTTATGGTTTTTCAAACTGGTGTGGGGCTCCGGTTATTAAGTGTTTTGTATGACGTTGGGAGACCATTTTGTTTTGTTTTCGATCTTCAATTTTGCACAACTTGTGCTTAGATTAATATTTAAATATATTTTACTTATTACACAAAATAAAATTAAAACAGTTAAAAACATTTACATTATGTCTAGGCTTATTTAGTCCTGAAGTCTCATAAATTAATTATGATTTGAGTTTAGTCCCTTATGTAATAAATGTTACAAATAAGTCCATTAACAATACTTATGTTAACTAATTTGGTACATTATGTTAATTTGGCTGTGAAAACGTTAAGTTGACTGATGTGACATGACAACAAAGATTAGTAAGCATTTGTGACTCAGCATATGTGTTAAAAAACAAGTATTTTATTTAATTGTGGAGGTTTTATTTTCGGAGGTTAAAACTCCCAGCAAATTGTTAAAAATTTGTAAAAAAAATATATTAATTGTTCTGTTGTAAGCTTTTAAAAAAAGGGTCATTTTAATATTGAAATTTTTGTAAATCCTGCACATAACCAACACAAAGAAACCAATAAATAAGTTATACAACAACTTCATTTTCATATCACATTAACAAAAAAAAAAATAGAAAATATCATTCCAAATCCACCCTAAAACATTATTAACAACATAAAATGCATTGTTGCTTCCTCGTATAATTCTGCAGACCAATTGTCAGCAACACAAAACTGTATTATGAAACTCCAATCACCATTACTCCAAGAGATGAACACATCAAAAAAAGTGTACATTATCCCGAGGAGTATCTTCATCTTTTTCAATGTTGTGAAACATTATAAAGAAGTAAGAAATCAGTTTACAAGCTTGACACAAGCAAAGCAACTTAAAGAACAAATTAAAAATAACAAGGAAGATCAATTAGCTAGTAGAAAATATCAACTCTCCAAAAATAATTATTGTTGAGTTTCTGTGTAGATGTATCAAACTAATTCCCCAAAAGAGGTTAGAAACAAAACTAAATCACACTCTCAGAAGCAAAACTAAATTACAGACTTTTCTTTTAAATGAGTTCTAAAATATTGAGTTGGTTCATACTTAAGGATTTGATTTAGACCTGTGACTAAGTATATAAAAAAAAGTTTACAAAAGTATGAACATAAGCAAGCAAAACAGAGAACGAAAATATGTAATTAACTACAAAAAGCAATATTGGGCATTAAAATTTCCCTTTTTCATAGAGAACTTGGGCTTATTAAAATTTCCCCTTTTCAAGTTGATAAATTTACGATAAGAATACACTATAAACCGAGCTGAGAGTTTACCTGATTTGAATAACTGATACCTATATTTGCCCAAGCACGAACATAATTAGGCTTTAAATCTAGCGTCTAGAGTGGAGATTGTTTAGGTCAGTAGAAAAAACAAAAATATAAAGGAAAAAATATTGAAGAATAAATACTTTACTTTCTCTGTTCTTGCTTCCTATTTCAAACCAAAAAAAAAAAATCCTAAAATCTGCAAATGAAAATCAAACCTATTCTAAACGAAAACAGAGAATAAAAATCTTAACTTTGAACACCACACGCTTTAAGCATATCGTAAACTTAAGAATAAACTTGTTGAAGAGGGAAGTGATTGTTGAGAATGATGGGTAGGTGAAAAAATGGATTAGAGATTGAAAAACATGTTTGAGGGATGGTGAAAATAAGAGATTTTCACATAGAGAAAGAAAGAGAAGAGAGAATCAGAGAGAGAGAAAAGAGTGGTGGGTTGCGGCTAGGTTTTTTTTTTTGAGAGAACAAGTTTGCTTCATACATTATAATAAAATATTTAATTAAAAATAATTACAGGTCAGCTAAGTTATTACCGACTAGAGTGTCACATCTGCTTAACTTAACAGATTTTGACAAAATTTAACAAAAAAGACCAATTTGACTAATAGAACATGATTTAAGGGACTTAAAACAAACATTTATTACATAAAAGACGAAAGTGAAACCTAAAATTAAATTAAGGGACCAAATGATGCATTAAGCCTTATATCTAGTATCAGTCTACACAGAAAAGAAAAATTGATTGCAATTTTCCTGGTCATGTGTCATTTAATAGGAAATGTTTCTAGTCTTAGAACAGACGTTTTCATGTTAAGAAAAAAAAAATTATGTAGCTAGTACACAATGAATAAGAAAACTAATCATATTACCCTAATCCTTTTAATAAACATGGTACAAAACCTGCAGTCCGTTTTATTTTCAGTAATTGATATTCTGAAAATTTGATACCATTGCAGAGACAAAAAAAACCTTAACATTGCAGCCACAAATGTAGTTGTAACTGTTTTTTTAAAACTTTCAGTCATGAAATGCAAATTAACAAAAGCATAATGTAACAAACTCCCTTCAAATTTTAGGCTCACTCACAATATAGACATTTCAGATTTCAATTTTGGGAATTAAGTACTAGTACAGATCTCAGAATATACATGTATGCACTAGATAATAATGCATTTAATTTACTTTTAAAAAATGACCTTTTCGACAAGTGGAAAAATCCGAAAGAGCACGCCGAGGCGCGACTCTTCAAAAGAGAACCTACAGGCATTAGTTAGTCTCCAGAGCAATTTCACTAACATCTAAGTTTACTATATTCTCTTTCCCGAATATGGTTAAATGCACCGTCGCCTGCACGAAGAATGTTAAATGAGTTAACATAGAGAACTAGAAGGAAGGACAGATAATCTAGTGAAGGTTGAAGCTCACCATTTTGGTTTTGCGGCTCAGCTTCTTGAGGGTGCCTTCAAAACCTGAAAATGATCCAGATATAATTTGAACAGTGGAACCTGTGGTAAGTTTAACAGTTTTTTTAGCAGATGAAGCTTCTTCTGTGACTACGAGTTTGTTGGTTTTTCTAGAGCCTCTTTTAGGCTTAGAATCAACTATAGCTTTTGAAACATCTGATTCTATCTCTGAATTCGGTTTCACAGAGATTTCAGCAGATTTTTTTTGTTCTTCCTCGAATGCCTTGTCAGCATTTTCTTGCTCCACTTTTGCCTGTCTGAAGATTGCTTCCATATCGTACTCAGATACTGGCTTTGGTTTATTAATCATTCTCTTTCTACAAACGATAAAACAATTGGAAGCTTCAACTTTGGCTTAATAAGAAACGGTAAATGTAAGATACATTAGATACCTATGTAGCACTGACGCTTCATATTAAAGATGTGTATGGTGTATGGTGTCTGATTCGTGTCAAGAGTCTGATAAAAACATGAGACCCCCACATAAGTGTAACGGCCAAAAAAGTAGCAATGCATTAAACACTAGCAGAAGATGCTTACGTATTTCCAACCTTGGATCCAATAAAGCCACCAACACCATCATACTCTTTTATGAAGTCATGCAATGGTTTGTTCAATGCACATCTCAGAAAAATACAACCCGCGAACAGAGGCTTTGGTTTTTCGGAGATGGAACCATTCTTCAGTTTCCTTTTTTCACGGATAGCTGGAGCATATACCTAAAACCAAACACTACCACATATCAACAATACATTACCAAACAAACATCATATGAAACATCATTTCTTATTCTATGAAAGATTATTTCTTATTCGTTCATCAGCTTACTTCACTTTCTTATCCCCTAAGCTGGTAGAGTTGAAGCTACAAGCCGCAAGCAATATGTTTGGATGAGAGTTTTAAACAAAAAAAAAAAAAAGGGTAAAATATTTATAACAAATAAGTTTCTGTGATATATTTTGGTCTTAAACACTCCAACATATAGGGAAAACGAATCAAGCCGAATTCGAAGTTTGGTCAAAAGTTAAGTAAGGTCAGGTCAAAGACTGTTTCAGCAAAAGATCGGACTTGGATACTACCCACCCGATGATTTGACTTTAGTTGCAGCACATTAATCACTTGCAACTTAATAGGCATTTGGAAAGAAAGTACCTAAATTATAGATTAATAGGTTGCTAATCTTGGATTGCTGCGCATAATGCCGAATCCCCACAATTCTATAGCGGCACAGGGGATAGCGGGATGACCGCTATTGTGGAGACTAAAGAACATTATTTCCAACAGCATGCATACCCCATCAAAATGAGTTCCCATCAAAATCAAATTATAAAAGTATTTAAAATGACTAAACCAAGTTCTAAACGTAAACAAAATGAAATTTCTAAATCCCTTCTGTGTTTTGCCTCATCTTCACTTCTAATCTAGTTCCACCACATTAGTATTATCTTGTTCATCACTTGATTCAAACTCTTGTTTTTGCACCTCCAACTCCTCATCTCTATTACACACTGTTGTAGCAAGTTTAGATTAATGTCTAGTAACTCTTGATGATTCACTAGCCTCAACTGCATTACCAACAACTTCCTAAAACCAAATCATCTTCCAATATTCCATTTTCACTCTCATTTTATTGCAACCATTCATATCATTCATCAACATTGTTGAGGAGAATAGGATCAGTTAAATCATTGTTATTAAAGCGGTCTATAAGAGAAAGAAGAGAGGAGAAATAGAGCAAGAGAGTTCAATATTAAGTTACTAGACTTTGAAGAGAAACAGAGCAAGGAGAAACAGAACTGAGGCGAACGGTGAAGAAGCAGAGGAGAACGGAGGTGAAACATATGAAAACAAAGGCGAATGGCAAAGGAAAATGTTGAAGAAAATGAAGAAAAAAAAACTGTGGAAGTGAAGAAGCATAACATGCGGGGTTAAATATTAGGTCATAAAAGGGTGGAAAAAATCAACGTACCATTACAAAAATTAGGATTTACAAATTTGCCCCAAATTGAGGATAGCGGCCATCAAACTGCCATGGCACTGCTATAGCACCACTACAAAACCGCTATTTGCGGCTACTATGACCGCCGTGCTAGGCCGCTACAGCAGCACTATAGCATGCTATTGACAATTTAGAGATTACCATAGACTAAATGAGCGAATCACCGATTTAGTCCCTGAAATTATTGGTCGAACAATTTGGTCTCTCAAGCTAATAAAATTACAAAATGATTCTTACAAATGAAAAGTTTCAATCAAATTAGTCCCTCTAAACTAATTCCGTCACTAAATAGACAAACCTAAATAATTTTCAATTTCGAAAATCATATTGAAATTTCATCAATTTTAGGGTTCAAACTGATCTACTCCTATTGGACTAAATCAATGATTCACACCCACCTTAATTTCCTAAATGATTCACACCCACCTTAATCTCAATCCATTTTTCTGAAAGTAAAAAAATAAACTTTGCAGAGTTTACACATACTTTACCTCATCCCTCCAAAACCCTTATCCACATATCTCCAAACCCTCATTCAAACAAACACATAAACTACACACACAAAACTTACCAAAAACAAACCACAAACCAAAACCATTTCCACTCTTATCCACAACAAAACAAAAACAAAAAAACAAAAAACAAAACACCAACCTTAAAGTCCGTATCAGGGAAAAACTTGGCCAACGAACGAGCAAGCGCTTCAGCAGTATACTGACCCTTAACACGCGAAACACGAACGATCCACCATTGAGGACCCAACTTCATGAGATTATCAAGGTTCAGTTCATCCATCCATGACTTAAACTCCTTCTTAGTCTTCTTGCTGAGCGTATCTTCTACTTCTTCCCTCCAATTGGTTGTGTTCTTGCTCTCTCTTCGCTCGTTTCTTAGGCGCCTTCTCTCTTTCGCGGTGAGGAGGTCTTGTTGTTGGGTGGTTGAGGAGGAGGCGGAGATTGAGAGAGGGAGGGGGGAGGAGAGAGAGGGAGGAGAGAGACTGTGGAAGCGTGGTGGTGGATTCCATAGCTGGAGCATAAGAAACGCTTTCATGGTCTATCTGAGAATACCGATATCCGTTGGTTACTGTTTTTTATTATTCGTTGAAGAAAAAATTGTTACACTTCTTGGAAAATAATTGGAAAATAATATGGTGCTACGAGACACCGTGTATCTGATACGGTTTGAACGGTTTTAAAATTAAAATTCTTCGATAAATATGCGGTTTAATTTGATTTGATTGATTTTTAAAAATAAAACTAAATCAAAGTAATGCAATTTGAGTTATTTCGATTGGTTTGTTTTGGTTTGCAAGAAATTTTGCTCGTTTCTATAATAAGAAGTTGGTTTTTCACACGGTTTGTGTTACTATTGCGGCTCAAGTGAAGCTGTCTTGTTATGCGGCCAAACTTCCTTTTTGTAGTAGTGTGTTCGATTTTCAGGTGCTGAAAGCTTTTCTTATTCCGATTAATCCACCTCGTGCCCCTATCATAAGAAAATTATTTGGAATCTGCCTCTTCAAGGTTGGACTAAGTGCAATGTGGACGAGTCTATTGTGATGGGAGCTTCTTCCTCGGATTGTGGAGGTATCTTCCATCGTTGTCATGGAGATTTTTCTTTAGCTTTTGCAAAGTCTATTCCCTAGAATAATTCATTTATTGCATAATTTTGTGGTGTTCTTAAAGGATAGAAATTGCTTATGACAGAGGTTAGTCGAACCTATGGATTGAATCAGATTCCTCTTTAGTGGTCAATGCTTTTAGTTCTGTTATTGTTATGCGAAGGTGTGAGATGTGGAATGTGTGGCTATGCATAATTTACTTGATGTATACTCATTATTATACATTCTATTATATTGTTGTGATATCTCACTCTTCAGTTGGAATGATGCTTTATACGGAATTGTGCAGATAGTCAAGAGTAGTCTGAGGCTACAAGGAACAGAAGAGCTTGCTCTTTGTTTACTTTCGACTCGGTGTCATTGCTTTGATACGTCACACCAGGGGGATGGACGATATTTATTGTTTTGTTTTAGTAATTGTTTGGAGGTTCAAGAATTCCTTATGAATTTTGAATATGCATCGATTTATTTTAAAAGATTGTTGGAGTTCAAATATGATTCTTTTTCCGATGCATTAATAAAAGTTGAAGTTGAGACTTGTTACTTTGTGTTGGTTCATCCGAAAATTTGTGTTATGTGTTTATTACTATCTATGAGCAGGTGTTTGTATGTTTTTGAATAAATGTGACATCCTGATTTACTTGGAAATAACTATGATATTTGTTTATTGTTTGTCGTGTATTTTGGGGTGTTACACTATAAGAGAAAAAGAAAATTTCAATGTAATTCATGAATCTCATATTTCTTGTGTTACCGGTCAGACGCCAGAGGAAAAATGAGTGTGTTTATTTGAGATGAGTCATGTTATATCTAGTTCATATAATAAGGCGTGTATTGATTTGACAAGATACAACTTCTCTGAAACATTTTTCCACTTCAGAGTGACCCACCTCAAATTCAACCTGTTGTACCCCAAAATTTTCCCTCCCATTTTCTTCAAAGCATTCTTTAAAGTCTCTTCAAATGGTCAAGGCACTCAAGGGTTGACTAGTCAAGATGCACCTCCTAGACCAAAAGCCTACAACTAGGGTTTGGAGTTTCTCAAGTAAATTTGGTCTGCAAAAGTCTCAAGTGGCTCCCATGTTTCTTCATAGGTCCTCAACAAGGTTCATGCCAAGTTTCAAGTCCTACATCACAAGTTTGCTCAGTCAATGGCTCAAGTGCTTGAAAATCAACTGTATTGATAAAAAAAAGTCAACTATGGTCAACATACAGTCAAACTTCAAGATTTTTGGTCAACATAAATATTTTGAAGTGATATTCATCATTTGATCAAGGGTTGATCATGATTTCCCAAGGAAAGTCCTCAGGTCATCAAAAGTCAAGAATTTGCCAAATTAGGGTTTTCCTTAGGAGAAGTCAACTGAAATTTGATCAGGCATAACTTTCACATGCTTTATAAAATTTTCCCCAACCAAAGCCCATTTTTAATAAAATTAAATTCTCTAAAACTTTGCTTTTATTCTCAAGTCCAAAAGATGCTTCATTTGGAAGATATGATCTCATACATTATAGGTCATTTTAAAAAAGTCAACAAAAGATACTTTTTGTCAAGGCAACTTACATCAAGATAATATCTCAAAATGAAAAAATGATTAAAAGATAAAGTATAGAAGACATCTTGGGCTTTCCAAACAGTCCAATATTATCTCCAAAAGGTGAAAATTAAGCAAGTTATGAGTTGCACAAGTTGAGGAATTTTGAAGGAATTCATGAATTTTAAGTTGGGCAATTTTGAACTTTTAGACCAATGGACCTAATTTTTTAGACTCATACATGTTCATGATATCTTAGAGGATCCCTAAAACCATTCCCTTGTTTTTCATGATTTTTATTTATTTTATTTGAATTTTTTCATTTAAAACAAATTAAATCAAGAACAAAGTGTAAAGCAAATGGGCTTAGGCGTATGATTGGACTTATAGGCCAAGATTGAAGCCCAAATTTCGTGCAAAGGCCAGCAAGGAAGTCCAGGTTCAATGCATGTCAAGAATGGCAAGGATTTCACAAGTTTGAGAACATTTTAATGTGTTTTATATTGTTTTGAAAAGGGCCTTAATGTCTTGATTCTTACCTTACTTGTTTTCTCTCCTCTCACTCCTCTATATATACCACACTATGCAAGCTACAAAGGGACGGGAAAAAAATCATTTCCTAAGAGCACAAAAAATCATTGCCTAAGAGAGAGCTCGAAATTCACAAAAAATCCAAGAAGTTGTAAAACTCATAACCCAAGTTCCAGCTTCTCTCACTCAAAACCAGTGACTTTCACATCCTTTTGAGGCCCCTAGGAGGCGATCCACGTCATTATCCAACCCCCACGCGTCTCAAAATCCCTCCATACCATCCCTCCGATTTGGTAAAATTTTGATTTCGAATCGTAATTTAAATCATTTTATGCGTATATTCTTATTACTATTGATGTTTTGAGCAAGTCTAACGTTTTACATGCAAGCATGAAGGCAGAAATAACGTGATGTCATCGTTATGGAATCAAGAACATTTGGTTTCGGATACGAGGATATGGGACGATCCAGACAAAAATAAGCTCAGATTCGAAATCAGGACATTTTCTTTTTTTAATATTTATGTTGTCTTATTAATTTTTTTTAGATGATTAACTCAATCATAAAAATATCATAAAATCAAAAACCAAAAAAAAAATAGATTTAATTTTAATTAATAATCACTTCTTTTTTTTCAATTGAAATCAATTAGACATTAGATTTTTTTATTATCATTAACTTAATTTTCTTAAATCAATTAAAAATCATAATAAACAAAAAAAAATCATAAAATTGAAATTAAAAAAAAATAAATTTAGTTTTTTTTCATATTAAAATTAATTTTTGATAAATTTATTTTAATCCCATTTTAACGTTTATTTCATAATTAATTTGTAATTAATTTAGACTTTTTTTTTAAATATTAAGATCAAATCACAAAAATACCAAAGAAATATTTAGGCTTTTCTTTTTAGAATATTTGATTTTTTTTCTAAATAATATTTCCTATTATTTTCTATTTATTTACCATTTTAGAAATAAATGTATAGGTCACACATATGATCTTGTAATAGTTAGTTTATCTTTTTCGCATTTTCTTTCTAAATGTTGTAACTGCTCATGTGATGTAATAGTTTAGGATTTACTTTCCCGCACTTTTACTTTCTGCACCTTTGTATATACATGTATATTACTGTTAGTAATTAGGTCGTGTATGACAAGATAAAAGCAAATGCTAGCAAATCTAACACTCAAGATAAATAATCGAAACACAACACACTTGCACACGTGCACCTCTAAGGTACCTCCACTTGTTGCCTTCGAATAAATAAACAATCACGATTCTTGAACGTAAGAGATTTTAGTGGTAACCCTTTGGTTTAAAGATCATAAATCCCTCGGTTACCCTTTTGACGTTGCCTCAGTGTATGATCTTAAAACCTTAGGATAACTACTAAAGTATCTTACTAGTTGCTTTCGTGATTGTACGATGACCCTCGCCCGTCCCTCAAAAATCCAACGGTAGGGCTACCTATTCACTAATAGCAGGATAGCACTATCTAAAAGAAAAGAGGAAAAGAACAAACCTTTTAAGTAGGTAGATAGATCCTAGTTGCTTGCTCATAAAAACAATCAAAAAATATTTTTTTCACACATGCACAAACTCTTTTCTAAATATTTTCAAAGACAAAAAACACTTTTTATACGTTCTCGCCGAAACGAGAAACATTACAAAGTTCACCGCACTAAGGCATCTTTTCAAAATATCTTCAAAACATACTTACACAAAAAAGCATTTTTAAAAGTGAGCTAACAACTAAGAGCTCGTAGATAACTAGGGATGGAAAGGGTGCTAACACCTTCCGTTTCCATAACCTACCCCCCCCCCCCCCCCTTACTCAGAAAATAATCTCGAAAGGTATTTCCTGTTCTTTTCACCCTTTTCTTTATTGGATAAAATAACAGTCGGTGGAGAACTCTTGCTAACTACAACATTTGCGATAAAATGCAAAACCAGTAAAGTCAGTTCTCCCACCGTATTACAGAACTGGCGACTCTGCTGGGGAAACATCTTAATTAAAAGTGGAGTTACCTTAGAGCTAGATCATATTTAAAATGCTTTACTTGATTTATTTGTATGTTTTATCTTTCGGTTTTATGTTTGGGTTATTCTTAAAGATCCTATACCCGGATCTGGGGCATCTTTTAGGTATGTAACAATAAATCATGGAGGTTGTACGATGTAGACCGATATGGATGATATGATAGATATGTTAGTGTGATGCTCTGGCTTGTAGTAATGTTCCTTGAGTCAGTCAAGGGTAACATTAGGCTTCCACATAGTGTCATTAAGCACTAACTGACCTTTAGAACCTTAAATTAACTCATCTTAGCCATTAGAAAGTAGTGAGATGGCCGACTTTGGT